ATTAACTCACTACCCTACCAAAAACTAAATTTACAACCTTGCTTTTAAACCTTCGTACTGTCAACTCATAAAAGCAAACAAAATAGTTCTTGTCATAATAAGAAAACTACAATCTCCCTATCAAGCTTGTAAGAAATACATTAATCTAATCATTACTATATAAGAATTCAACTCATAGCTTCAATTGCATATTAATTTAAATACTTCTCCTAAAAATTTTGCTTAACAGTAATTTAGCACCTAGTTTTTCCTCTAATACCATGATTCATAGCAATCACCATCAAGTTAATTTTCACATTAATAGTAGCTAAATAGTTAAATGTCTATCGTGATTCCCTAACAAGAATTATATTCGATTAACTATTTAGTCGAAATCAACTTAATCATATAATAGTTTTAAATTTGGAATTTATACCAAAATGAGGAACTAGGTCTTAGAGCGTACCAATCAAAAATCGGACGATGATTCCACGATCCGCTCGAGGAGAAGATGATTTTGCCTCTTGGGGCCTCGCCTAAGACTCACCGGTCAATCTTCGGACTGATGCCGTCACCGCCGTCTATGGTAGCCGGCAAACCATGGTTGATTGGATTCGAGCACTCTTCACACCATTTGGCTCGATTTTTTGTCAGGAGTCCATTTTTGGTGTTAATTGAGCCAGATCGGCCTTCTATTAGATCGAAGTGGGCTCGACAGGAGCCAAGTGCCACCATTAACGTTGCTATTGATCGCCGAAAAGAGACTGTAGCTCGCCTACGTTGCAACCCTCACCGAAGTCACGAGCGAGTAGAGGACTCGACGTTGAGCAGCGACTGGAGGCTGGTGGCGCTATTGCGATTCACTCGAACGAAAACACAGGGAGAGGGGAGTTGAGGCGCGACGGCAGAGAGAAGGCGGCGCAAAGAACTCTGTTGCACTCATCTCTGGTGACCGGAAAAATAAGAGAAAGAGGGATAGGACGAGGTCGGCAATGGGCTTGTCCCTCGACCCAGAAAGAAGAAAGAAAGAAGAAGAAAAGGGAAGAAAAATCTAGGCTTCTAGACTATTTCGGTTCGATTCGAACCAGTTTGGTCCAACTCAGTGATTTTACTCGATTTTTGCTTGGTTACAAGTTTTTCACTTGGTTTTCAAAAAATTCAAACTGGTTTACAGGTCTGGTTTAACAATAATAAAATATTTTCCATTGAATTTCATTCGTTGGAATAAAAATTTAGTTTTTAAATGAAAATCCTACGAACTTGAATTTCAGGTCGTTTTATTAGTAGCCTGTAATAAATTTTCATATAGTAAAGTTTTTTATAAAATTAAAATACAAGAAAAAAATATAAAAATATAAAAATATAAATAGTATCATATTCCTATTTATCTAAGCCGCATGGGGAAATTACTGTTGCCACAATAGTAATTTTTCCATTTAGCCCTTAATATTTTTTTTAATTACAACAACATCCTTTCACTCTAAGCTTTTGATATCTTTTTTAATTTTTGATATTTTTTTAATTACGATAATGCTATTTTGTCATCGATTCAGAATTCTACTCTTATGACTTCGATATATACAATAGATGTGAGAAATTATTTTGCCACAATAGTGATTTGTTCATCCATCCTTAATATAATATCACATTTTCACTTTAGCCTTTTGACATCTTTTTAATTACAATAATATCATGGGAAAATAATTAACTCATTCCTGAGGTTTAACGAGATTAACTAAGTCATTCTTATAATTTGACAATATTAATTAATGGTCTCCGAGGTTTACCTCTGTCAAACCACTTGGTCCTTCTGTCCATTTTCTCCATATTTTTCCATTAAAATCTTTAAAAAGACTAAAATACCCTGACACTTAAGAAAGGAAAATAATTAATTTATCCATAAGGTTTGACCAAACTAACTAAGTCATTTCTGCAGTTTAACAATGTTAATTAATGATTCGGAAGTTTACATCCGTCAAACCATTTGGTCATTCCGTCTATTTTCTCCAAATTTTTTCATTAAAATCTTGAAAAAAAAAGAGTAAAATACACGACATTTAAGAAGAAAAAGACTAAACTAGCCTAGGTTAGAATTTCCATTTGCCGTGGAGGGAAAATGAAGGGTCAAGGTATACACTGATTATTTGATATTCACCCAAATAAAAAAAAATTGATCAACATAATGTGTCACTTTACTGTCCTGAGCCACCTACAAAAAGATGAAAAAGAAAAATATACATCGAGTTAATTTCAATAAAAATAATAGGCATTCAATTTGAGGTATCAATATTAAAGAGAACAAGTTATTTTATATATCCATTACAAACTAAAACTAATGAAATGAAGGTAGTACCATAGAAATAGTAAGAATATTTTTAGAAAAAAAAAAATCACCATTTTTGCAGAATTCTAGTTGTAAATTTGTTAAGACTTAATTGTCATTCCATTATAAAACAAATAATCTAGGTTAGTTTAGACTTTTTCTTCTTAAGTGCAATGATATTTTAGTCTTTTTTAAGGTTTTAATAGAAAAAATAGTAGAAAATGAATAGAATGACCAAATGGTTTGACGGAAATAAACCCCAGTGATCATTAATTAATATTGCTAAATTGCAGAGATGACTTAGTTAGTTTAGTCAAACTTTAAGGACGAATTAATTATTCATTCTTTATTTTAGTCTTTTTTAAAAGTTTTAACGGAAAAATCTGGAGAAAATAGAAGGAAGGACTAAGTGGTTTGAAAAAGGCAAACCTCGGATATCATTAATTAATATTGTCATACTGCAGGGATGACTTAGTTAGTGTGGTCAAACGTCAGGGACGAATTAATTATTTTCTTGAATATCATTTTACTACTATTTTAATAATTTTACCTTATGGCTTCAATTTATACAATATTATCCTTTGATTATTTAATAATTTTTTTTATATTAACGGAAAAATGTATGAGACATTTATGAAAAATAATTTATAAATCACTAAAGATTGTATTACCTATTCGGTGAAATTTAAAAATTAAAACCACAAAAAATGAGTACATATTTATATATTTATTAATTTTTTGTAGTAAAAAGTGATATAAAAAGGACTAAATGTGAATTTTTTTTGTCTGTATACAAAAATCTGTACCATTAAAAATAGAAATAAAACTTTGAAAACACAATGTAAAATAAAAATAAAATAGATCAAATGCAATAAATTTAATAGCTTTAATATTCATTCTTTTCTTGATTGTACAATTACAATATTTTACCTTAAATCTTACAAAGCTACAACTCAAACAGCTTCTAAAATATCAAATATCCAACTATTTATAATTTTTGAAAAAAAAATTATTTATTTAATATAACTTTTACATGTTGTACTATTTATTTCATCATATTTCTTTAAAAAGTATAAATATTAGGAAAAATAATTAAATAGTCATGAGGTTTGACTAAACTAATTAACTCGTCCTCTTATTTTATCAATATTGATTAAAAGTCTCCGAGGTTTAATTCCGTTAAACTATTAGGTCATTCCATCTACTTTTTCATCATTCTGCAGTTAAAATGTGTGAAAACACGAAAATAACCTCATAATTATGTAGAAAAAGACGATAATATCCTAGGTATTATACATTATACCATAATCTCTCTTGTCTAGGAAAAAAACAGCAAAAATATAAAACAAAGCACTTAGGTATCTTTTTATTAAGATTACTTCTAAAAACAGCAAATAATCCTTGCCATTGTATGGTAATTTGAGGTTATTTGTGCAGAAAAGACGTGATTAAAACAAGAGTGATGGCAAGTGCCTGAAAAAATTACAGGTGGAGTTAGTGGAAGTAGTGCAGATTTTTCAGGAAAAAAGAAGAGAGGAAGGCCAAGAAAATACGATTCAGATTTTTCATCGACCATTAACATCACCACATGGCTTTTCTTTCTCTCTCTCTTCATCGACGGTGCTGCCTTCTGATGGTTTTAAAAGAGGTCGAGGTAGGGCTACTGGCTCCGGTAACCGGTAGCTTCTTGCTTCTTTAGGTGAGTTTAAAGAAACCTAGAAATTGAAAGGATGAAGAAAAGAAGAAAGCTTTCGGCTGCTTTTTTTTTTTTTTCTTTGGTGGTTTTGTAAATGGTGATTGATCGCTGGGAAAATGCAAAAGAAAAAAGAAAATGAGAAAAAGGTTAATTAAGTATGATGATTTTTATTTATTACAATTTTCCTTTTAGTTTAAAAAAAAAAAAAAAAGCAAAGGAAACGATTCAAACTTGCTAACTTTTTATGTTATTTAAATTTTTTTTCGTTAAAAAAAATTCCCCATAATTTTGTCACCAACCAATTCACTACCATCCAATTATGACCTTGTTGGGTTTCTAGGTCTATAAAGCTTGTGCGAATGGAAGTCTCAGCTGTTGTTGTTGGTACTTGAGCTTCCTTCGAGTTTTTCAGTCTGTAAATAATTATTATAGCGAGGTAATTCAGGATATTGTTGTCCTTTCCACGTAATTGTGAGGTTATTTTCATCCCTTTACACATTTTAAAGGCAAAATAATAAAAAAGTAAATAGAAGGATTTAATAGTTTAACGGAATTAAATCTAAAAGACTCTTAATTAATATTAATAAAATATAAAGACGAGTTAATTAGTTTGATCAAAATTTAGAGACTAATTAATTATTTTTTCAAAATAATATTTTCACTTTTCTTATTATATTATCTATGTTTTAAAAAATATTTCGCAAGGCGACAAACTAGTAATATATATATATATATATCCCGCAGCAATGCCGCGTAAGCTCCGCCTGTTTTGTCTAAAATCAAACGGCAGCACACAATTTGTGTTTTAAATCTTAAACAATTTGTGTTTTAAAACATCCTTTTGAATTCGGCCCGAACCATCTTGGGCTAAAAGCTTAAAAACATAATCCTACTAAATATGGGCCTAATTTCAATCTTTTACGTTTGGGCTTTAAGCTTGTACTCAATCAACCCAGTTTTTCTACACGACGACGTTTGTATTCCACCTGGTAGCTTCGGGCGATTTCCAGAACAGAAACAAACGAGAGAACACAGAACAACCAGCAACAGGAGAATCTGAGCTGAATATTGAATTGAAACAGACGGGAGAAATTGAAGACAGAAGAACTAATTAATAAACAATAAAAAAATCCATGGAGAAACGGTCACCTCCTTCGTCACCATCAAGCTCCATTGATGGCTCAAGAGAACTTCAATGTATTGGAACACTCGAAATTGTTAGACCGAAACCTGTCGGTTTTCTCTGCGGTTCTATTCCTGTCCCTACCGATAAATCTTTTCACGCTTTCAACTCCGCTCTTGTTCCTTCTAGCGAAACGTAACACTCTCTCTCTCTCTCTCTCTCTCTCTCTCTCTCTCTCTCTCACCTTCGCTAGTTCTATACGTGTTTGTTTATATAAATATGTTTGTGTAATTTGTGCTTTTGGTTGTGTAGAGTAAGTGCACCGAGGTACCGGATGCTGCCGACGGAGACCGATTTGAATACACTTCCGGTTGTTTCAAACTTGCCGGAGAAGGTTCTTCCTGTTGGTGCTATACAATCTAAGGCCACCGGAGGTATCCTTTTTCTTTAATTTTTATTTGAGATAAACAAAAATTTGTAGTTCTTAAGTTCTTTTAGTTTAACGATTGGCATTGATTTTGAGGTTGTTGAATTTCATTTCTGTGAAGGAAGATAAGCTTAGAAAATGACTTTCTTAATATTATTAAGAATTTGTAAATTATACGAACATGAACATTTCTGTGTTGTGGGTTTTAGAAAGATGCACATGTGGGTTTTTTTTTGTTTCTAAGACTCAATTGCTTTAACTTGCATGGCAATTAAGTGGAAAGTAATACAATAATGAAACTGGAGGATTTATTTCCCATTTTGCTTAAGAATCATAATCACATAATTTATAAAGGGCATGCTTGATGCTAGAAGAGAATTTTTGTGATTTTTCAAATTGAGGATTGAAGTTATGACTTGGAATTTCAAATGTGGAAACTTTGACTTCTAAAATATTAGTTAACAGCTAAAACTCACATGTTAAACTTCCTGCAACTAAATCCTATTGCTTATAAAGAGTCATGGAACAATTTCATTGTTATCATTATCATTATCATAAAAAATCTGTGTGAGGCTGTGAGCGTCATACGGATGCTTGAATATATTCAAAGCAGCTTGTTAATGTGAAGGCTGGACTATATAGTGTCCGCCTGTGTTGACTTTAACCTAGAGATTGCATCACATTGAGAAGGCTATATAATTAGCATAATATATTGTAACTGTTATTGTGATTACAAGGATGTCTTCTGAAGCACTAATGGTTTTGTAGGAAAGATGCAAGTTTAGGGAATTAATTTTGCTTTAAGTTGAGCTGGATAAGTAAGCTGAGTTAACCTAGGAATTGTTAGAGTTCAATGAATTTTGTATCATCTCATGATGGGAAAGGGTGTCATATAATTGGAAGGATCAAATGAAGTGTCATTTATATGTTGTTTCTCTTTGGTCACTGATGATGCACACTCTATCTGAAGAATGTGTTGAGATTTTGTGTTTTTCTCATTGAAGTTGCTATTTGTATCTTGAAAACTAATACTAAATGAACCATAATCTGACAATATTTCTACAGAATTGTTAGTTTTGTTATTTGATTTGCAAGTCTTTCATGCTAATTAAAAGCAAATATTCATCTGTCTGCTTCTTTTTACTTGAATTCACAATGATTGAAAGTAAAACTTTGTGATAATGAGTTGTAGAGTTACCTTGGGAAGGAGATACTATTTCATCAAACCTTACTAGGAAATGTGAAGCTCTTGCTGTATCTGGTTTAGCGGAATATGGGGATGAGATAGATGTGATTGCTCCTACTGACATTCTGAAGCAGATCTTCAAAATGCCGTATTCTAAGGCTCGATTATCAATTGCAGTTCGTCGTATTGGACAGACTCTTGTCCTGAACACCGGGTTTCTGTCTCTACACTAGCTTTATTGCTTATCTTGTAAATTTTTCAGTATCTTGATTATGTCATGACACACAGGCCTGACTTGGAAGAGGGAGAAAAGTTGGTTAGGAGACAAAAAAATCAACCAAAGCATGCAGATCAATCTTTGTTTCTGAATTTTGCTATGCATTCAGTCAGAATGGAGGCTTGTGATTGTCCACCAACTCATCATTCTTCATCAGAGGGGCAGTCAAATTCATCTGTACTTCCTGGGTCTGGCACATCACATTCTATGGGGCAGCGTGATGGTGCCACTGAGAATGAAGGATACAACCATTGTTCAGAGTATCCACAAGTCAAACAAGATGGCTTCTTTTGGGAAGGTAAAAAGAATAAGAGAAATAAGGATCATCATCCAGTAAAAAAGGCTTCACGCGTTGGTGAAAAGCCTAGATGCTCAGTTCAAGAATCTGAGAAGCATAAAAGGGTGCATAATGATGGATTTTTAAGGGTTCTGTTTTGGCAATTTCACAATTTCCGAATGCTCTTAGGCAGTGACTTGCTTCTCTTCAGTAATGAAAAGTATGTTGCTGTGAGCTTGCATTTATGGGATGTAACAAGACAGGTAATAAAAACTTCCATGAACTCTTTACGGTCTTCATGCTCAGCAAAATTTTCATTGTTTCTTCCTATGTTTTGATAGGTAACTCCATTAACTTGGCTTGAAGCATGGCTTGACAATGTTATGGCGAGTGTACCCGAGTTGGCCATCTGTTATCATCAAGATGGTGTTGTTCAAGGTTATGAACTTCTTAAAACAGATGATATATTTCTATTAAAAGGCATCTCAGAAGATGGAACTCCTGCTTTTCATCCTCATGTTGTTCAGCAAAATGGCCTCTCTGTTCTGAGGTTCCTTGAAGAAAACTGCAAGCAGGATCCTGGTGCCTACTGGGTAGAAAAATAATTTGTCTTCCGTGTATTACATTTATTTACTTTCTATTTGAAGAAATCTTTTTCTTAAAATTGTTACAAATGATTGTTTTGATATCTGAATTCATCTTTTTACAGCTTTATAAAAGTGCTGGTGAAGATGTGATTCAACTTTTTGATATTTCTGTTATTCCAAAGAACCACACCTCCAACAATTGTGATGATAGCTCAATGTCCCTTCCTTCCTTATTGAACAGAGAGAGAAGTGATTCCTTATTTTCATTGGGAACTCTTCTTTATCGCATTGCTCATAGGCTTTCTCTTTCCATGGTATGATAAAAATACGATCATAGACTGCTTATGATACTCTATATCATTTTTATGTTTGGTGTTATTAATTTTTAATATTTCTGATACAGGCACCTAATAATAGGACTAAGTGTGCAAGATTCTTCAGGAAATGTTTGGAATACTTGGATGATCCAGATCATCTGGTGTGTAGAATCAGTTGACTTACTGTTATTTATTTAGTACTTCTATAATTATCCTTTGTTGCATCAAATGATATATGTAACCAGTATTATACATTCAGGTAGTGCGGGCATATGCTCATGAGCAATTTGCAAGACTTCTTTTGAATCATGAAGAGGAGCTGGAATTGAATTTGACATCTGAATCACTTCCAATAGAATGCGAAGTTACAGTCCCAGTAGAATCCTTGGACTCTTCTTGTGGTTTATCTGAATCAGTTGCTTATGACAATTTCTCCTTGCCAGTCGCAGAAGATAGATTGAGTGGAAACCACTCTCGTTATGAAATATCAGAGACTCCTGCAAAGATGACGCTGCAGGAAACTGTATCTATTTGCAGAAATTTGATAGCATCAAATGACACAGAATCAAAAGATTTAGAAGAATCCCTTCCAAGTTCTAGTGGTAGTGAAACATTTGCAGTGTCTAAAAAGCCTCCGGCTTCTGCATGTGTGGTTCAAACTGTTGCTCATCCAATCTCCTCCAAGTTAGCTGCAGTACATCATGTTTCACAAGCTATTAAATCTCTTAGATGGATGCGCCAACTACAAGGCACTGAAGTAGAGTTGCTTGATAGGGTTAGTAATAATCATGATAGGCCACCTTCATCTGTAAACTTTTCTGTCTGTGCATGTGGTGATACCGATTGTATAGAAGTTTGTGATATTCGAGAATGGCTTCCAACATCAAAAATAGATAATAAACTGTGGAAGCTTGTTCTTCTGCTTGGAGAATCTTATTTGGCACTAGGGCAAGCTTATAAGGAGGATAACCAGTTGCATCAAGCGTTGAAAGTAGTAGAATTAGCATGTTCTGTTTATGGATCAATGCCACAACATTTAGAGGAAGCAAGGTTTATTTCCTCAATTACTAAATATCCATCCCTAGAAATATTCAATGAAAATAATGAGAAGACAATATCATATGTTGGTGATGCAAAGGGAGTAAAATCAAGTCCTAGTGATGATTCTCTTGCTTTTGAGCGTCTCTCTTTGACTTACCTATTCTGGGCCAAGGCATGGACGCTGGTTGGAGATGTGTATGTTGAGCTTCATTTAATAAAAGGTAAAGAGCTCTCAGTAAAAGCAGACATTAAACCTTCTGCCAAAGAATTGAGAATGTCGTCTGAGGTTGTGAAGGAAGTCCAAAGGCTAAAGAAAAGGCTGGGTCGGTATATTCAGAATTGCAGTTCATGTTCTCTTGTAAATTGCAGCTGCCAAAGTGATAGGGCTAGCAGTGGTAGCAGCGCTAGCAGTAGCAGTGGAAATAAGCGCTCTGTAGTTTATGGCAGGAAGCATGGTAAACGATCTTATTTAAAAAATGCCTCTTACTCTCTCTATGGGGACTTCGATAATGGTCATGCTCTTCACAAAGTGGAGAATAGGGGTTCTGACAGTGAATATCTCCAGCTTGATACTATGATAGAAGCTCCTAGAATTAGAGATGATAACCTTGGAGTAACTTCCTCTGGAGCTGTTAATTCTAGAACAAGAGAAGGCAGCAGTTTGGAAATGCATGAAGAAGTGGTGCCATGTCAAAGTGAAAGCACTTCAAAAGAAATGCCAAAAATTAAGAATGGTGGGATATTTAAGTATTTGACAGATTATACTGATATAGATGCAGATGCAGAACACTATCTTTCTACTGCACTAAATTGTTATGAAGAAGCTAGAAAAGCATTGGTTGGACTTCCTACAGGCTCAGCTGAATTACAGTCTGTAATTAAAAAGATTGGGTGGGTTTGCAATGAAATGGGTCGAAATAGGCTTGGAAGAAAAGAGTTGACAAAAGCTGAACTTGCTTTTGCTGATGCCATATCTGCATTCAGAGAAGTTTCTGATCACACCAACATCATATTGATCAATTGTAATTTGGGCCATGGTAGACGAGCTTTGGCTGAAGAGATGGTATCAAAGTTTGAAAGTCTCAAATTCCATGACGTCTTCCATAATGCTTGCAAACAAGCTTTGCAAAGTGCAAAGCTGGAATACTGTGAATCACTTAAATTTTATGGGGCAGCAAAGTCAGAATTGAATGCTATTGCCTTAGAGAACAACTTGGAATCAAAGAGCTTGAAGAATGAAGTATATACTCAGTTTGCTCACACATATCTGAGGCTTGGCATGCTTTTGGCCAGAGAAGATATTACTGCAGAAGTTTATGAGAATGGTGCCTTGGAAGATTTGCCTGTTGTTTGTATTAGTCCCAGTGACAAGAAAGCTACGAGAGAATTGAGAAAACATGAGATTTCAGCTAATGAAGCTATTAGAGAGGCATTATCAGTGTATGAATCTTTGGGTGAATTACGTAAACAAGAGGCTGCATATGCTTGCTTTCAGCTTGCTTGCTACCAAAGGGATTGCTGTTTAAAATTTTTGGGGTCAGATTATAAGAAAAGCAACTTGCCTAAAGGTGAAAATAGCATTATTCAACGGGTGAAGCAGTATGCTTCCTTGGCTGAGAGGAACTGGCAAAAAGCAATAGAATTTTATGGACCAGAGACGCATCCCACCATGTACCTAACAATTCTTACAGAGAGATCAGCTCTTTTACTAAGCCTCTCAAGTTTCTTACACTCAAATGCAGTACGTTCTTGGATCTATTCTTTTCTTCAATGGCAGCATTGCATTTATACGTTCCATTTCCAATTTGATGAACCTAAATTAACCAGATAATGTCCTTCCCTTATCCAGTTTTTATTTTATTTTCTAGTTAGAATGGCCATTTTATTGTTCAATAATAGTTGTCTGGGGCTTACACCCAAAAAGGTGAAGGTTTAGTAGAAATGCAGAGGAGTGAGATTTTTTCTGAATTATTACTCAGAAACTTTGTTTAGCTCATAACTGGAAAATAGCCTTTTTATTTGAGTTTTGAGTTACAGAAAGTAAAACATCAGTTAACTGTTCATAGAAAATGGAGTCTACATACAAATCTAATAGTAATGCAGGAAAACTTTATATAATTAATGCATGCTAATAAGAGATCTTTATCTGTGGAATTGCATCTTTCTAAGAGAACGAAAGAAATTATTGTGCTGGTAGAGAATAAATTTCAGAGTTACAAATAGATTCGAGTCTGTATCAAGAGTTTAATGAAACCATAGTTATTTGTCAGCTTGGATTAAGGAGGAGATTTGTGGTAGCTGACAGTCCTTGTCCTTGGTCTTTAGGGGGCCATTAGAGAATTAGATGCAGTGTATATCAAGAACTTCGGGGGTTAATATATTGTGATTTGTCTCAAACAAATTTTACTGTTGTCTCAGTTTAAAATTTATGCTTCTCTTTTTTTCCTGTTCTCATGCTATTTTACTATTGTTCCAGATGCTAGAATCAGCTCTATCTTGTATGCTTGAAGGACGCAATGCATCTCAAAAAATTTCAGATTCTTTTGGAACTGATCACCCACAGGTACATGCCAAATTTTGGGGTCATTTGCAGACGCTTTTGAAGAAAATGTTAGCCTCCATGCTTCCTGGAAATACAAATAGATCTTCATCCATTGTTCAGCCAACATCAGGATCTAACAGGCCTGATGCTAGAAAGCTCAGGGACCTCTACAAGATGTCATTGAAGTCTGCTGATTTCAGTCAGTTACATGCTATGAATGATTTGTGGATATCATAACCTGAAACTTACCTTTCTATTTTCTGGAGTTCATCCTATAATATTTACATCTCATGCGGAAAGTAATATTAGCATTGGATAATTGAAGAACTCTCCTTGCAGCATTTTGTTGTTGGCACAACTCACCTTTGTACCACAGTAGCTGAGATGCACTAGAATTGATGGAAAGATTTGAAAGTGAAAATACTAACAAACATTTAGGAGAATGTATATGTGGATGGGTTGCTCTTAAGGCTATGTAAATGGGGCGTTGAAATTGTAAATATGCTTAAAAGATAGATTTCCAAATTTGTGCAAGTTATATTCTATTAGTACATAATTCAAAAACAGTTATTTCATTTATGCTTGTCGATGAGCTGAGCCGAACTCTCTAGTCTGAGCTTAGGCCATGTTTGGTATGTTATAATTAACCATATAATGATATGAGAATTTATATGATTAATTACATTGATTAGACTTTTTTTTAACACGGTAATGTATTGTTAAATCTTCATTAATTAATTTGATGTAATTTTCATTGCATCAAAAACATACATTTATTGTTGTCCATTACATCAAGCATATATATTGTCCATTATATTAAGTACATATAATACCAATTATATAAACCACCCCAATTAAAACTCTATGTTCATTTAGCACAATCGCCTCACCACCACAATCAATATCACCGTTCGACTGCCACCACTGTGCCACCACCGCTTGACCACTAGTCAACAACCACCATAACCACTTTAACACCATCGTCACTCCTCCACCACTACCACCACCATCACTCCTCCACCACTACCACCATCACAACCAACATCACTCCAGCACCGTAACCATTATCACTTCATCACTCCACCACCACCGTAACCATTATCACTTCATCACCCTACTACCACCACCAACGCCATCACTCCACCACCACTCTACTACCAAAATCAGCACTATTCCATCAAAATCAGCAAAGAATGGAGTATTCCTCTTTTAACTCATGTACTTTCTTTTCCTAGTCAAAAGAGTATTTCTTGTTTATTCTATTTTAATTTAGTTTGGTTTCCAGATTTTTTTACTTAACATTTTCGGGATAGGTTTGGGTGCATAAGAAAATTTGAAGGTTTGAGTTTTAAGTGCATAAAGAAACTTGATGGCTCGGGTTTAGTTGTGTGAAAATGTTAAATTTTTTTCTGGTTTATATTAATAAAATAAATTAAGAAATTAATTTGCTTATACAAAAAATGTATACTTATACATGGGAACTTCTGTCATTGATGAAAATCCTTTTTAAATAATAAAATTATGTTAAATCTTAACTTATAGACCCTATTAAAAAAAAATAGTACATCATAATCTCTAAAATCTTAAACCCTAACAAAAAAATATACCATTATATGTATACTAAAACGTAAATCAAAATCACTGTTCATAGAAAAGTGTTTTGCCCTTTTAACCATTCCTTTTTAATGTTATTCCTATTTTGCCCTTTTCTCCTCTCGAAACTTCTTCTCCTTCGACGGTCCAAAATCCGCCGGCTTCAATCTCATCTTCTTCGCGAACTTCATTTTGGTTATATGCTTCTTCGCCGATTTTATTTATGCACTGTGATCCTAATTATTCCTCTTCTCTTCTCCTCTTTGTAACATCTTTTCTTCTGTATTCCACTTAATTACTAATATAGGGTTTCTTCTCTTCCTTAATTGCCAATTTTTCAAGAAATCTGCATGTTTTATAATTGATCGGTAATAGTTAGTATCCTATTCTGAACTATTCTTCTCATTTTCTCTATCTCTGTTTTATTATTTGATTGTGATTTGAGTTGGTATGGTTCCTATAAGTAGCAATCCCTAATTCTGAAAGCATTGTTGCTGAGGTTAGCGTTCTTTTCTATCTTGATATGCATTTTTTTTTTTTTTTTTTATGTTCTTAGTAATTAAAAGGTAATGACGAATGGTCTATGGTCAATGTCTAAAAAAGTTCTTTGCAAATTCAATCAGTTGAAATTCAAAGTATCGACGATGATCCTTCAGAAATTGAGGCAATGACAGTCCAAGAACTCAGAACAACATTGAGGTACATAAAATGTTTGAGAAAATATATGTTTCATAAATTTGTTTTTAGCAAAAAAAAGAAAAAAAAAAATCTCATTTAGTTATTTGTTTTTGGGTTTGCAATTTTGCATTTGTTATTTTGCACAATGAGTATTTGGTTTGGATACTGCCGTAAGATGCAGGGAATGCATGTGTGTATTTGATTGCATTGCTCTGGCAACTACTTCATTGTTAAACTTCTGATATTATAGTTTCATCAGCATATAGATCAGTGGAACTTTGAAAATATAAGAGGGATAGGACAATATTTACTTGCATATAGAGATAGTTGGCTAACATTGGTTCTACCTGTATAAATAATAAAACAAAAGCTGCATAAGGAACATTTACACCATATTTGTTAGTAACTGACATTAAGATTCAATCAAAAGAAACAAAGTTAAGAACACAAGTTCTTTCCTTTCTAACTATAGTTTTTGACAGTGAAAACACACACACACACACACACACACACACACACACACACATGTATTTTGACAAGTGAATACTTAATTTAATCTGCAGCCAAAAATTAACCATTCAAGCCAGTAGTTACGTTTTTTACTATAGCAAAAGCTCAATAGATGGTTAGAGCTTAGCAATCACCATAGGATTTGACTTATTATTGTTCAAATTTTCTGTTTGGATAGAAATAGTAGTTTCTGAAACTCAGCAATCACAATGAAGTTGCAAATGAAATGAATTATATACATGTAGTTCCAGCCCCAATAACTAAAAATTCAAACACACTTAGAAGAAAGATTAATTGTCAAGTTGTAGGTATAGCACATGTGTACTCTGCTACACAATTTGCTGGGTGTAATTTGAGTATTGCTGCTGTGGGAGTTATTGCTCTCATCCCCTTTCGGTTTTTCCTTTTCCTTATAATTTCGCTCTGTGCAGGCTGCATTAATGGGGAAGAAGCAAGAATGTGGTTATACATTCTTCTACTTTTATTTTATGACATTTAGATTCTTTTCTCAGACATGCAGTGGTGCAAAAACTCAAAAGCGCTTGAAGCTCCGGAAAAACTCAAAGGCTCTGGTATCAGTGGTATGTCTGGTTTTCTGGTGTTTTATCAACTTGATGTTACTAACAGTAAAGTTTTCTGTTCTGGAAGCTTTAGCAGTAGCCACCTGTGTACTTATGGTGGCTGGCTTTTTTGCGAGTTCAAATGGAGATCAGTCAGCATGGTCTCTTAGAGAAGAGAGATGTAAGAGACAAAAGCATATATTTTTAGAAAAATGAAAAATAGGTAAAAATGGGAAGGATGTGTTCTACTTGAATGCTTATATTATCACTTGAATTTTTTTCTGATATTTGTCCAATATAACATTAGTTAGCTAAAAAAAAAAAAAAAGAAAAGAAAAGGCAATACGAAGCCGCAGCAAAGTGCGGCCATGTTTGCATGTAATCTCTAAAATTTAAACCCTAAACCCTAATAAAATATTTAAAACCTAAATCCTAAATCTTAAGACCCTAAAACTATTCTAAACTATTAACTTCATTATTTTTAAGGGACTTACTGTCACGTCATGTAAAATTTTTCCCTCCCCTGTTCAAAAACGGTGAACCTCAACTACAAATTTCAACACAAGAAATCCATAAGAAACATTTGCACAACCTATGGCCTCCAATTAGTATAAGCAATCCTTCATTTACTATAATGGACATGTAAACTCAGTCCTTACCTACACGTATACATATACATATACATATACATATATCGGTCTTAATTTTATTATTCTAGATATTTCTAAAATAAATTTAATTAGAAAGTTTTATATAATTAATTATTCAATTCATCTGAACTCTAAAGATTTTTTATTATTTGTTTATAAATTCATAGAAAGAAGCTTTGACAGTTACTTCTTCAAATAATAATTAAAATGTAAATTATTATCTAAAACAAATGAATATCAATAGAGACTAAAATATATAGCATGAAATAGTTGAAGCTGCATTAAAAAGAAAATTATGAAATTATAAAATATTCTTCCTAGTCTTATATATGTTTAGATTAGAAAATTAATTAGCAGGCAATCTTTTCGTGTAATTTCTAGTCTTAAAGCAGAAAAAAAAAATCTTCTTGAAGAAAAAAAAGTTTAGATGCTTAGGTCTCTACGAGAGGATTAAGTACTGCTCCAGTGAAAAATATAAGTCCAGATACTTCTTCCTTAATCATGAATAGAAAGGGATGGTCTGCCAAGAAACTTGGAAGTGGAGCCACCGGTAGATGACGCGGCGAACATGTGAATGTAAGACCCAAGATTGCGCAAGCTGCAGCCTCTGTACCTTTCTCATTTACTTCAATTTTTGATTTATGAAACACTTTAGAGACATAAACATTGTTGCTATCAGCAGAATAAACCATCATTTTTAAATTGGCTGTCACCTGATCAAAAGGCGAAGTTAATCACAGCTTTTTCATGACTTTTGAAGTTTCAAAGTTGTATGAGAAATTAAACTTTGGGATGCTCATCTCAGAAAGTTGTACTTCCTCAAGGGCTAAATCTTCATGTAACAATCTAGGATTAGAATTCATCTTTTCTATTATTTCTTGCAATCCATTGTTGCTATGAGGAAGAAAGATATGCATAAAAAATCGCTTATTATGCTGTCCAATAAGATATGGTAATTTGATAACTTTGAAATCCTCGAAAGATCCATATAAGTGTCTTACAGTGAGTCCACTAATAAGGGGAACTTTTACGGTCCTCCCATTAAGAAGATGAAAGTCTCTGGCTCTAGTTCTTGAAGTATCAAAAGAATGAAACCAAGTTCCTTTGAAGTAGAGTGCAATTGCAAGTGCAATAGCTGTATCTTTGTTAAGACATCCCGTTGAAAGAAAGTTCTATATCAGACCTTTGGTTGCGTTTTCCGCCCACAGTTCACTTCCTGTACCACTTGCTCGGCCTGCAAACGAAGGTTTGAAAAAAAAAAATATATATATACAGTATATGATGAAAAAACATATAGGCAAAGATTACATATGCTTGATGTAATGGACAACAATACATGTATTGGCCATCACATCAAGCTTAGGATTCCTTCTCATGTTTATCGTCTTAGTAGGTTTGGATTATTTCTTGTCTAAAATCCCTAATTTTGTTCTTTTCCTTGGATTTTCAGTATTGATTTCAATTCCGAGTATTTCTATAATCCAAGAGTATAAGCAGGTGTAAATCAATGTCAAGATGATTGCAAGTAACCATGCTTGAGGAGGCCAAGTTGTTGAAGTTCATGTGTTAGGTGGAGCGGCCGATAAACGCAAGGAAAATTTGGAGAGGCTGAGTTTATTGAAGTTCAAAGGGAGCGTCCACCATATGACTTTCTTTAATTGTCCTCTATTTTTTTTTATCAACAAATAAATTTATTTAACTCATAATACTCAGGAAAAACTTATTTTATTCAAGTACTATCTCGAGCCAACAGACCTCTCACATACATCCAACCTAACGATAATTTAAGTAAAAAAAAAACCTGATAAAAACATCAATACTCATCAACAACAGTACAACAAAAAATCAAAAATGCTAACCAACATCCCATAATAACATAAAACGGTAACAAAAGATGCAAAGAGAAAATGAGACAAAGCCAGTCTATTGAACGCCATTTCTTGATATGAGAAAAGCAGAAAAAAGGCCGGCAATAAAGGTAGTCTGCAACCAACCTAAATGTGTTTAATAATGTGTTTATATAGTTATGAAAATATAGAAGTGTTGTTGTGTTATGATGATTATTTGGAGATGTTGGGAGTTTGGAGTTTAATTGGGAGTGTTTTGTATTTAGTTTATGAAAATATAGGAAGTGTTGTTGTGTTATTGATTGATTATTTGGAGATGTTGGGAGTTTTGGGAGTTTAATTGGGAGTGTTTTGTTATTCATATGTTTAGCGAGCGCTCAGTTTTTAAGGGAAATTCTTACAGTATTTCTGGTAGGATTTTTTTTCCAATTTTATTTTTTCAAAAAAAAAAACATAACCAAAAAATGAAAATGAATATTGACAATTTGTTTATCTAATAAAAAAGAAATACTATATTACTTCGGCTAAAACTCGTGGAATACTCCCTAACATACTGTCTTAATTCTAATCCTATTTTTATGATTGGTATGGTTAAGTTAAGGACCTCGGGTGTCTCCGGGCACCGAAACTGTGGCAATCCGTCGTCGCGGTCTCACGGGACTGCGGAGGGTGTTACATTTAGTGATATTCAGGGAGCATAGGTTTAGGCAGGTTCTAGGTTTTTCACAAAATCAAAAGTTTAACAAAGTAAATTGTGTTTATGAAAACATAACCTTAAAAACAAGTCTAAACAAGCTTAACTAAAACTCTTTAAGGCCTTAGGCTTGCCTTCTCATGGGTTAGAAAAGATTCCTCCACCCTTTTGACCCCAAGTAGGAAAATCTTCTCCAAATTTCTTTCGAAAAACTCTCCAAATTACTTGAAATTATTCACCAAAAATCTCTTCTCAAGCTTCAATCTCTAGGATTAATTACTTAAATCAAGTTGGGTGGGTTAATTTTGGTGGATTTATCAAGTAATAAGTGAAGAAAAATAAAGAACAGAGGAAGAAGAAGTTGGCGTTGAAGAGAAGAAGAAGAAGAGAAAAATGGTTGCTCAAATAATTGGGGTTGACTTTTATAAAGCAATTAAGGGTGTTTTGATCTTTTCCCAAAATTGGGTGGCTAAGATTAAGTCAATAGTAATCTCATCTAATAGCTAAAAATATTTTCCAATTAAATTCCTTCAAAATATTATTTTTCTCCACAAAATTCTCAAATTTCAAATTACTCCATAAAAATAATTCCTCAAATTTCCTTAATTAATAAAGCATCATAATTCACTATTCACTAATTATCTAAATTCTCCAAAAATGTTCATTACTTACTTTCTACCCATAAAAATCATTTATACATACTCCAAAAATATTAAAGAAAATATAAAATATATACAGTAATTTTTTTAAACCAAAATAATACTGACTCCCGGACCGGTAGTACTATTCACAGACCGATAAACCACTATCCATTCATAGTTAATTATACTCAATATCTTCCTCGAATCTAAATAAAATATTATCCCCCTCTCTGTAGCACCATTCATGACCCGATACCATTCATGACCCGATAAAATAATATTATTTTAAGATTCGAAAATTTTGGGGTGTTACAGGTCTAGAACCCTATTGACGGCTTGGGTACCCTAGTAGTTAGTCTAGAGACCCTGGTAGTTGGCCTGATCACCCTGTTGATGGTCTTGACAGTCTGAATACTCTGGTAGTTGGTTTGAACAACCTGTTGATACACTGCTAGTTGGTCTGAATGCCCTATTTTGAGCCTGATTACTTTATTGTTGGTCTGAAAACCCTATTTCTTCTCTGATCTTGGTATGAAAATCCTATTTTGAGGCTGATTATCCTATAGTTGGTATGGACTTAGTTTGAAAACCCTGTTTTAAGGTTGATTATCCTGTAGTTGATCTGGAAACCTTGTTGACAGCCTGGATACCGTGGTAGTTAGTCCGGACTTGATCTTAAAAACCTATTTTATGGCTGATTATCCTGTAGTTGGTCTGAAAACCTTATTGACGACCTAGATACCATGGTAGTTGGTCTAGAGATCCTAGTAGTTGTGAACCCCTTTCCCCGGATGCACATGCATGTGATGCATATGACAAAAGAAAGAAATGCACGTGAGTGTGTGAGTCGCCACCTTGTTTAATTATTTAAAGAAAGTCCCACGTGAGTGTTGTGAGGTCGCTCACCTTTGTTTAATTATTTTAGGGTAAACTAGGAAAAAACCCTGAATGACTTCAATTTTAATTAACCTAGTTACTAGATTAATTATCCCAATGTGTAAAGCATGGTATGCAAACCCGAGATGGATCCCGAGACTATGTCATGCTGATAAACTAACCGATGAATGAATGTTTTGCAAGGTAAATGAGGGATTAATGAAATGTTTGAGTGATTTTGGTGATTTCGACTTGCCGCCCGGGGTGAAATCCCGGACGTGCCTACGTACTTCCGTTTGAATGGAAAATCAAAGTCAACGTAGTTCGATAGGCCTCTTTTAGAGGGCTTTGAATGTGTATGCTTTGTGCATGAGTGTGTATGCTTTGTGCATGAGTGCGTATGCTTTGTGCATGAGTGCGTATGCTTTGTGCATAAGTGTGTATGCTTTGTGCATAAGTGCGTATGCTTTGTGCATTTTGTTTAGGTATTCTGCCAAAGATTGATTGATTTTTAGGCATGTTGCCAAAAATGTTGATTTTAATGGCTTTTAGCCAAAATGATTTTTGATTTAGGCAATTGTTGCCAAAAATGTTGATTTTAGGCGATTTTCGCCAAAATGGTTGATTTTAAGGCCTTTGGCCAAAATGAGTTGATTTCCTTTGGCCAAAAATTGATTCATTTTAAGGCATTTTGCCAAAAATGTCGATTTTACGCGATTTGTCGCTAAAATGGTTGATTTTAGGCCTTTGGCCAAAAGATTGATTAATTTAAGCGATTTGTCGCTAAAATGGTTGATTTTAAGGCCTGGTTGATTTTAAGGCCTTTGGCCAAAAGATTGATTAATTTAAGCGATTTGTCGCTAAAATGGTTGATTTTAAGACCTTTGGCCAAAATGTGTTGTTTTAGGTTACGGCTTTGAGCCGAAAATGTTTGGTTGATTTTAAAGGCATTTCTTGGCCAAAAAATGTCGCATTTTAACGCGATTTGTCGCTAAAAAAGGTTTGATTTTTAGGCCTTTGGCCGAGAATGAGTTGATTAGGGCTAATTATTATTTACCAAAAGTTTGATTGTGGATTGGGCGATTGATTGTCGCCAAAATGGTTGATTTTAAGGCCTTTGGCCAAAAAGTGTGATTGATTTAGGCAATTAGTTTGCCAAAATGTTGATTAGGCGATTTTCGCCAAAATGGTTGATTTTAAGGCCTTTGGCCAAAATGATTGATTTATTTTATGGCGTTTTTCCTAAAATGTTGATTTAAGCGATTTGTCGCTAAAATGATTGATTTTAAGGCTTTAAGCCGAAAATGGTTGATTTTAAGTCATTTTGCCAAAAGATTGATTTTAAGCGATTTGTCGCTAAAAAAATGGTTAATCTCATTTATAAGTTAATACCAACGATTATTAATTAATCGCGGCGTTTAAGCTTAATCATAATTTAAATTGAGGCAATTTATTTGCCAAATTAATGAACGTGAATGCATTTATGCAAGCAATTTTATAATTCAGAGTTGGAGGTAGAAGAGAATGCATGAAATGCTAAAATTAAATAGGCAGAGTTTCGTTAGTACCTGATTTAATTGGCGACCGCTTCTTAGCTCCAGATTTAGCTCCTCGTTTGGAGAATATTAATTAATTAATTAGAATTTGTTTAATTTTAGTGGCCAAGTATCACAATACATAAAAAAAATAAAGACTGAATTAAAAATGCAAAAGCGGTAAAAGAATCGCAAAAGCGTGAGAGAAAAAGATCGTCCGTCAACACAGACAGGAGTGGCCAAAAAATGAAGAGGGAAGTGGCCATTTATAGGCCAAAAACAGGCCTAGGGCGGCAGGTGTCGCCGATGGCCGGCGGCCGGTGCCGCCATGTCCGGCGGCCGGAGCCGGGCGGCGGCTGGGGCGGCAGGTGCCGCCCTTGCAGGGGGCGGCAGCTTGCCCCCCCCCCCCCCCCCCCGCCCCCAGCCGCTCGGCGGGAGCTGCCCGCCCGGGAGGGCGGGCGGCTGCTGCCGCCCAGGAACCGGTGGCCTTGGCGCCAAGCCGTGTGCGGTGGGATCCCCGTATTCACTCCAGGTGGCTTTTCCCCGGGGAGTTTGTGGAACTCCTAAAATTATTCCGGGAACCAGTTTCTGCGTCCTCGCGACATCCCGGACGTTTAAGTACCTATAAATTGGCATACTTTCGGTGAACTTCCAAAAATTATTCCGGGACCAGTTCTGCGATCCTCGCGACATCCCGGACGTTTTAAGTACCATATTGGCATACTTTCGGTGAACTTCCAAAATGGCTTCGACCCGGCCGGACTGTTTGCAGTCCGGGATAATTGGCTCTTTGAGCCTCAAAATTTGAGTATTCACAATAGTTGGCCTGATCACCTTGTTGACAGCCTGGATATCTCGGTAGTTAGTCTAGGGACCCTGGTATTTGGCCTGATCACCCTATTGATGGTCTGAATACCCCAATGGTTTGTCTGAACACCCTATTCATGGTCTGAATACCCTAGTTGTTGGCCTGAACACCCTATTCATGGTCTGAATACCCTGATTGTTGGCCTAAACACCTTGTTAACGGTCTGAATACCTGGTGGTTTGCTTGAATACCGCTTGAATACCTTGATTATTAGTCTGAGAACCCTTGTATTTGGTTTGACGACC